TCCCCTTCCCTGGATGAGATATGACAATCAGGCTAATAGAACTCACATCATATGGCGTGAATGTAGATACCTTATCCAAACCACTAAACTGTGTGGGAATTTAAATAATTTTGGATTAGATGGACAGGATGGGAATCTTGTCGCATTAAATTCTTTTGAAAAATGGTCCTTATTGAATCACTGCTTTCAAAATTACCATCAAGGGACTGGCAACAGGTTAATTTGCTGCCAGTGATGCCAGTATACCATGTAAGTGCTGGCTCCAGTCCTGGCTGGTCCACTTTAGCAAAAACAGTGGCAAGTGTAAGACCTGCCTTTTAATATCACAGGCATAAATATATAAGAAAAGCACACACTAAGATTTATATTCATTTAAATTGTAAATCCCAGGCCTGGCGTGATAGCGTAGCAGTTAAAGTCCTCGCCTTGAATGTGCCGGGATCCCATATGGGCACCAGTTCCAATCCTGGTGGTTCTGCTTCCCATCCAGCTCCCTGCCTGTGGCCCAGGAAAGCAGTCGAGGATGCCCCAAAGCCTTGGGACCCTGCACCTGCATGTGGGAGGCTCAGAAGAAGCTCCTGGCTCCTGGCTTCAGATCGGCACAGCACCGGCCATTGCACTCACTTGGGGAGTGAATCATCGGATGGAAGTTCTTTTTCTCTGTTTCTCCTCCTCTCTGTATATCTGCCTTTCCAATAAAAATAAATAAAATGTTAAAAAATAAAGTGTAACTCCAGGTGCTGTAGTTTGGGTTAAATTTTTCTAAACTGTCATGGTGCAAGGAAAGAGAAACTATGCAATGGCCAAGAGGCTAAGTTGAAAAAATAGTCTTTCAATTAGAAATATCAGTGGTATTACAAAATATATAAGCCTCACAAGTGAAATACACTTGTTCTATGCAACATTAAACACTTTTTCACTGTGAATATTTAGATATTTGTTGTATCAGTTATTTTTTTAAGATTTTATTTATGGGATATCGTATGGGCGCTGGTTCTAATCTCAGCAGCCCTACTTCCCATCCAGCTCCCTGCTTGTGGTCTGGGAAAGCAGCTGAGGACAGCCCACAGCCTTGGGATCCGGCACCTGCATGGGAGACCCAGAGGAGGCTCCTGGCTCCTGGCTTCGGATCCTTCATGGTGAGAACTCTAGCTGCTAGGTTACTTCAGCAGGCCCTAAGCCATTTGTTTTAATGGAATACGTGTTGAGGAGCTCCTTTCCCCTGTTTATGGATTTCCTCCAATGGAGAACTCTCAATCTCCTTTGGTTATTTACTTGGCAAATGAAGTGTTGCATACATACCTGCTTGATACCAGCCTTTGTGCGGTACACGTTTCTCCCCTTATGGAGTCCATATTTGACAGTGTTGTTTCTCAGTGTTGGAGACTTAGTCTCTATCTCTTGGGGAGAAAGGTTTAGGTGATTCACTGAGAAACTTTCACAGGAGTTTGAAAGAGAGGTGGAGGGAAGTATTTTTGTTGGAACTCATCTACTAAGACTACTTGGCCAAAAACATTTACACCTGAGGAGAGATTTAGACCCCAGGAAGTGTAAACACTGATTTTTTTTATCTATTGTGGCAGATTGCCTCACCTCGAGTTTTAGCTTTTGCTAATATACGAATAATAATACGAATATCTATTGAGTGTCAGTACTGTGAGAGGCTTTATTCTTAGGATGTGACAGGATTCTAATTACTTAAGTACAAAGAATATATGTTTCAAATTCTGTTTGTTTTGGTACATATTTCAATATTAACATTAATGAGTTTTCTTAAAAGAGAAATGGGACTATAACAGAGAGGCTTATATAATTCTAGAAATCCATATTTTACAATGTTACTATACATTGTTAAGTAGAATGAATAAATGTTACACCTGCCACACTTACACTTCAAATTATTAAATGGATATAGATACTGATGTGAATTGCTTGAATTCATGCTAGGCTTTTGTGTTTTCAATTATATTTTCAGTGAGCTAATACTAAACATAAAATTACTTTCATCTTGAAGGCATGCCATAATTTGATTTAAAAAAAGGCTCTCAAGCACAAAAGGAATGGAAATCATGATATAAAAATGATGTTTCAAACATTTCATTAATTACCGTTAGGTGTAACAGAAAATAAGAGTTTCTTATGAGTAAATGCATACTTATTTGAATGAGGTATAACTTTTTGAAACTTTATCTTCATATAAATAATAAGGGAAAATCAAGGTCTCTTTCATGGAAGATAATTTTTGCTGTCAGTGAAAAATACCATGGACTTATCAGATTTTTCTGAAGATATGAAGAAAATAGGATTACAGGTTTTGAAGCTATTTTGTGCCATTTCCTGTTTAGTCTACTCTGTGTTATCCTTTCAGCATCCCACTCCCCAAGGACACTTGGCAAATATTTCCTTTTATAGCTTTGTATTTATGAGAGAAACCACAGATTAAATAGCTTTGTTATACATTTACCTACATGCTAAAAGTACTAATTCAGTAACCCCCTTCTGTGTGAGATACAGAGTGGCAGAGTTTAAAGATTTTGAGCTGTCAGAAGAACTAGCACTAAGATGACTCTTTTTCTAGTAAAAGCTAATCTACATTTCCCACTGTTATCCATGAAAGACGGCAATAGTATTTTCCCTGCTTATATCCAAATGTTATGTTCATTGATAACATAATGAAGAACAGAGAAGAATTTTGAACTCTGCAAATATGTAAAATGAACTATAGTTAAGAGTTAGCCCATTTTTCCCAAAGTAGCTTAAACATTTTGTGTTTTTCTTTCAATGTTCTAAATTGGTTGTTTTTCCACTTTTTAGTTATTATTTTTATGTGAGGATACAATGCAGTATGCATCTCTACTTCCAGATCAAAGGTGGACTCCAAATGAAATTGTTAACTTTATCATGACAATAGGATGTTGGACTCTTTGCCATTTTCCATGCCCACAATGATGGATTTATGACTGTTTCTGAAGAACGATACTGTTGCAATAATATAGGGAAATCAGTGGGGGGGGGGGCGGCAGTTAGAGAGGGAGTAAGAGAAATCCCAGAGCATATGGAACTGTATTATAAAATAACAGTAATAACAATGTGGTGATTTCTCGAACTTTCCCTATTTTTGATGTGCTAGACTGTTTTAAAGAGCATGACTCAGTATATGGTAGAATGTTCCTTAACTGGGAACTGTCTGATATTTTGCTTATGATTGTATTGGGATTATGGATTTTGTGGAGGAAGACTGAAGTGGCCAAATATCCTACTCATCACTAATACCAAGAGTGTGTACTATCATCAGGAATCCTTGCGAATGTTGCCCTTGATCATCTGGCTGAGGTAGTGTTTGTCAGATTTTTCCATTAGAAAGTCACTCTTTTTTTCCCATCTGTAATACAGTGAACAGCCCACGCTTTAGGAAAAGAGAATTATGCATCAAGGCATTGAGGGCAGAATATGTATATAAATTATTTGGAATTCTTTTGCTTCTGAGATTTGTTTTTCTCCATTTTTATCTGTGTAGGCTCGTGAATATTTGTTTTATAATATGGGTTATAATGCAATACTGCCTCAGGTTGTTTTTTGCTTAGTAACTTACAGATGTTCTCACTGGAAACTCATTTGATTAGTTCTGATGTCTCTTTGACTTATATATCCTTATCTGGGGGTGGGGGCTGGCGTGGGGTGCAGTGCATGGTTCCCATGATTTGGGAATGGCGGACTTTCAGTATTCGAAACTCTCTCCTAGGAGTTGCTTCCAATTGAAACAGCCATAAGACATCATCTGCCATGACCTACTTAAACTCACATAACAAGCAAGTGAAGAGTTCTCTGGAGGCCTCTAATGACCATGACAGAAATTGCCTTGCTTTCTCATAATTCAAAGTCTACATTATCTCCTTATTATGCAATCCATTGTGCTCCAAATACTGACAGACTCTTTGGCCCTCAAATATATATATATATATTTTTACCTAAAATATTTGCTTATTTGGTAACATTTACTAACAACACATTGCTACTTGTAAAACATCACCTACATAATCTCACAGACACATAGGTGTTACATAAACAGAATCAGCTTTTGGATGTTGGTGCTACTTGTTCCCAGAAAATCTTCAGTAAATGATTGTGAGTCTTGTAACCACTATATGTGGATACAGCTTAATTCCATTTTTGTTGTCTTTTTTCTCAGTGGACATAATCAAGTCATTTTATAATTCTGCAGTTATTTACTTCATTGTGAATTGCAAGATTCATTTGAATGATAACCACTTGTGTTTGTATTTTTTTTTAATAGCTCAGAAACTTTATCTTTCTGAAACACTGCATTTTATAAGAATATTTCTATGGCAGTACTAGTAATTCCAGGAGGATTTCAGAATCTGTATCAGCTTTTCTAACTTCTCAGGTTAAATTTGCCAGAGGCAATTTTGTCTACTGTTGCAAAATTGATAAAACATATAAGCTTTTTAACTCATATCCTAAACTTTAGTACTTATTCCTTTTAATATCACACTGATTTGTGTAACCCATTTAAATTATTTTTCCAAATTCCATGTAAAAATGTATTCAAATGTAAAGATTAATTCACTTAATTAACCTTTTGGTTAACAGGTAAGATGCTAGTACTTATCTATATGGATTTTTTTTCTTTGAAGCTGACAGCTGAGAATTAAAACTAAGCTGAATTTCAAGTGGCTTCTAATTGTGGCCAAATGTGCATGATGGGGGAATTAGCCTCTACTCAATTGCAAGGGCTCCCACCAAAGTACTTACTAGAAAACTAAGGCACTGGTGTTGCAAGGAGCGAATTTGCTGTTCCCTGTCCATGTAGTAGTCTTTGCATCATTTCTGCAAAGCTTCATTGTCTCTTTGGGTAAGCCCAAATGGTTTGGGCTGAAGTGGGTGGTTTTGTTTCTAACCCTTCAAATACATTTTTTCTCTGATAGTGGGTTCTGTCTCTTTACTAATAAACAGTGGAGGTTCAAAGATGGTCAGTAATCGTGCTCGCTTCGGCAGCACATATACTAAAATTGGAACGATACAGAGAAGATTAGCATGGCCCCTGCGCAAGGATGACACGCAAAGATGGTCAGTAATCACTGCTTTTAAGTTGAGGATTGTCTAGGAGAGGAAGCAAGTGAAATGCAGAAGCAAGCATAAAATAAGGCCCTGTGGGATAAAAAACCAAAATGGGAGAAGCTTAACAAGTCTACAAGAGGAACATATTTCTTCTGCCAGGCTTGATCTAGAGCCTTTACACTTCTTTTAATTTCCTACTTCACACCTAAGCATATCAATATTCGAGCTAAACAGAAGTACTTGCACCTTCCCACAAAAGTCTTGTGTGCTTATACACTTGTGTTTTTTGTTCAGGCTTTCCTTGTCATTCCTGCTTATTGCAATTCTGTTGAATCTTAATAGATCAACTCAGATATTGCAGCCTCAATTAAAGCACTCATTGCTTTTCTTTCAAACACAGTGAGTATTAAGACATGAATCTCCCTTCTTTAACATCCAGGAACACTTGTTGCTGGGGTTTCTATGTTTATACTTCCCAGATTCTTTGTTAGGACAGAGGTTTACTGAAACAGCCATGCTCATTTATTGACATGCTCTCTAGGGCTACTTTGCCCAGCAGCAGTGGAGTTGGGTACTTGGGATAGAAACCTTATGGCTTTCAGGCCTAATGTATTTGTTTTCTGGTCCATTGCAGAGCATATTTGCCTTAACCTAGTGCATAAATTCCTAAGATACCAGAACTTGTAACTATGTTTGTGATGTCCTTAAGGTCTAAGAGAGTAGGCATACCTTGAATATTGACATAAGTGGACTCTAAATGATTATAGAATTTAATGACAAAATCCATGGGAGAAAGGCTCAATCTTTAAGAAAAATAGACACGTGAAAAGGAATTGCTACATGAGGGGAATTAGGTCCCTTCCAATTCAGTCCACAAGGTGTTATTTTGAAAAAGGATTAGGGGAAAATTGTTTAGCATAGCAGTAAAGACACTGCTTGAGTTACCTCCCTCCTATGTCAGAGTGACTGTGTTTCTTCCTAACTCTGCTCTTGATTTTAGCTTCCTGCTAATGTGAACCCTAGGAGACAGCAGGTGACAGCTTGAGTAGATGTGACCCTGGTGCCCACATGGCAAACATCCTGCCACTCTTTAGATATTATTGGCATTTGGGGGATAGAATTAGGAGATGGGAAGCGTGTATGCTCTCTCTTTCTCTGGTAGCCTCTCAAATAAAGGAATAAAGCAAAAATAATCATAATTATGAGCCAATATATACTGGAATAAATTAGTTTGAAGCAAAACATTTGATGAATTTTTTTAGACAAAAACCGATGTTAGTATTAGCATCTATACTTACTAATTATTACTCTTAAAAGTCATTTTTAGTCTTTTTTAAACTTTACTTCCTATTATTACAGTTCCATATGCCCTTATGATTTCCCTTATCCCATCCCCAATTCCCTCCCCGCTCACTGAGTTCCCCTATATCATTACTGTAGCATAGTTCTTAATACACAGTGATATGTCCATTATTGCGGGCATGGACAATAGCAGAGAGTCCAGCATCCTATTGTCAAGATATTTTTAACAGTTTCATTGGGAGTCCATCTTTGTCTGGAAGTAGAGATGCATACTGCATTGTATCCTCATATCTGAATCCGATACTCTCTATTTCATAATTACTGTACATCCTCTTAAATGAAAAGCCACAAAACAAAATCAACAACAGGAAGAAAATAGGAATTTACAATGCCATGAAGTTAAATAACATGTTACTAGATATGAGAGTCTCCATTACACAGTTGCTGTACATCCCATTAAATGAAAAGCTGCAAAACAAAATCAACAACAGGATGAAAACAATATTAACAACACCAAGAAGTTAAATAACATGCTACTGAATGACTAATGTGTTGCTGAAGAAATGAATAACAAAATCAAGAACCTTCTTGAAGAAAATGATGTACATCATATATCTGCTATGACAGTCTATAGAAAAGATTCAACACAGAGAGCTGTTGCTAACTGTAAAAGAAGGGGTGACATGCTGATTGATCACACGAACCCAAAACAGACTGTTTGAGATCAAGTTCTTTAATTCAAAGTCTAACCCTGTATGATTTTGACCAAATTACTTAACCCCTCTGTACCTTGGTATTCTCATCTATAAATTGGGGATAATGATAGTGTTTAGATGAAAGTACATGAACATGTATCCTGGAATGTGGTAAGCAGTGAAAATGTTTCCCCAGTGACAATTGTTAAAACCACTGTTCTGGCTATATGTTAGAATCATTTATAAGCTTTACAGAATACTGAAGCCTCAACAAGCTCAGAGTTTGATTTCACTATTTTGTGGTCAGCTCTCAGAAAGCTTTAAAATCTCTTCTGTTGATTCTAATGTACGCTAGAGACCCTTCTTCAGCAATCTGTTTAACTTCCAGCATAATTTTGATTCTGACCATAGAAACCATTGAGTCCTCTTGCTTTGCAGTGCTTCACCAATCACTAAGAGCCTCTTCTATGGAAGCTACATAAGTCATGTCAAGTGGAACTTCTGTGCAAGGAATTTATATTGTGTTAGAGCAAGAACATGTGGATTCTGATCACCAAGCCACAAGTTAGGATGTGATCGTTAAGACATGAAGTACTAGAGAGGGAGAGAGAAGTCATGTTCACTTGATAGTAGTCCATACAGGCTTCATGAACGAAGAACTATGCACTTCACGTGGATCTTGAGAAATGAAAAGCATATTACTGTCATCATTCTCAGCTCTCCCATCTGCTACAGGGTCACTGGGTTTAAAATTGTATGAGACCAGCTTATGTACTTTGATAACTCCAGTTTATTGAAAGTGTAATCACTTTTGGAAAGTAACCTGGAGTTCTCCCACCATTTTTTTTAAAAAGCGTTTTTTTTTTTTTTTGAAAGGCAGAGTTACACAGAGAGAAGAGACATAGAGAAAGATCTTCCATTGACTGACTTACTCATCAAATGGCTGCTATAGCTGGAACTGGGCTGATCCCAAGCCAGGAGCAAGGGGCTTCTTCTAGGTCTCGCATATGGATGCAGGGGCCCAAGGACTTGAGCCATCCGCAGGGGCCCAAGGACTTGAGCCATCCTCCGTTGCTTTCCCAGATCATAAACAGAAAGTTGAATTGGAAATAGAACAGTTGGGACTAGAACTGGCACCTATATGGTATGCTGGTACTGTGGGCAGAGGATTAGAATTCTATGCCACTGTGCCACTTTCCCCATTCTTTCCCACTTTTCCCCCACCCCCACCATTTTTGGTGATTGATGGAAAATGGTTTGCTTTAGGTATATCATGGTGTGCTTCAGATTGACCCTCATGGCCTCTCAAATTGTAGAAAGATTCCAAAGAAATTCTTAGGTGTAAATGCATAGGTAGTCCCTAATGAAACCTTTAAATTAGAGGAAAACAAAGACACTGTCTTTTTTTGACTAAAGTCAAGGGCACTAATTGTCTGACATTTGGGCTCTCATGGGGCAATACTTTTGGCTTTGAGCTGCTGAAGAGAGCCTAGATGAGGAACCTCTGAACACCTTGATCAGAAATCAAAGACTAATGCTGCATTCAAGCAAATTAACAAAGTGAGAAGGGATGTTGGATGCTGTGTCACCTCCAAACGAGGTCACAGTGCTGAGAAAGCAAAGCTGAGAGAAAAGTAACCTCTCTGTGCTCTTATTTAAGCTAGTATTTTATTTTATTATGATTTCCTTGGTTAAAGATTGTAAGATATATTTATCGAAGAAAATTGAACATAGCACTACTTGATGCTATCAGTCATAAAAGTGAAATTTCATAAATATGTTATTATATTAGAATAATATACTGTATGCAGTTAGGGATCTCCAAGGTTAAGGAACAACAATTTAGGAAATCTGGACTCTTGGCTAGGTAGGTTCCCTTTCGTTTGTCTTAAATCCCTGAGAAAGGTTAGATTGGTGATGCTCAAAGTCTAAACTTCAAGATGTGTGTGCTTGTTGATTTATTCAATAAACACAATGAACATGTTATAGTTTAGATACTGTTCTAGGGAGCAAGATAAAGAAACTTGCCTTCCTAGAGTTTATACTCAAACTAAGGGAAGCAGAAAATGCATAATAAGCATACTCCATTATAGGGTTTGACATAAACTGAAGTGCTACTGTAAGGTGATCAAGTAGGGAAGCTAAAAATAAAAAAAGGAGCTTGCATAAGGGTGTTGATGAAAGTCTTGGCAGTAGTGGTATTGGACAGAACAGGGTTGTTGACTAAGACTTAAATAATGATTTGGAGGGGGCCAGCTTTGCGACAGAGTGGGTTAAGGTGCTGCCTGAGATACTGGCATCTCATATGGGCACAGTGTAAATCCTGGATGCTTTACATTTGGTATCGCTTCCACTAATGCTCCTGGAAAAGCAGTGGAGGATGGTACAAGTGCTTGAGCGCCTGCACCCATGTGGGAGACCCAGAAGCACCAAGCTTCTGGCTTTTGCCTGGCTTAGCCCTGGCCACTGTGGCCATTAACTAGCAGATGGAAGATCAGTCTGCCTGCCCTGATCTCTGGCTAACACTGCTTTTCAAATAAATAAAAATAATCATTATAAATATCAGAAAAGGTAAAGAAATTAGTGATATAATTATCTTGGGGGCAGAGCATTGAAGGGACAGAGAACAGCCATTCAGTTATCCAGAAACAGCATCATGTGCCTCACATATTTGCGGAATTACAAAGAGGCCAGGGTGCTGGGACAGTGAGCAAGGGGGTGGCTTATTGGGAGATGTTAAGAGGAGGAAATGCCAGACTGACATGGATGGCATTACTCAACAAGGTAAGGATGATGGCTTTTACTCTGATGTAGTTGTGAGCCGAGGGAGGACTTTCAGTAGAGGTGCTAAATAGTTTTTTCTTTTTTCTGCCTGTTGTTTTGACAATGCAAGGTGGGCAGCAAAATGTACTCAGGAAGACCAACCAAGGAGTGTAAAATAACCAGATATGTTAGGAAGAATTCTAAATTTCTGCCCCAACTGACCCCATCCAATATTTGCAGTCATTGGTAGGCACACCTTTGCTAGTTC